GTCCCTACCCCTTCCCCAGAGCCCAGTGCTGCTGGCTGGGAGCCCAGCAGCCCTGCCGTGCTAGTGACCCATGCCAGCCCCCTGTCATGTCCCGGCGAGCGGCGTCTCTTTCCGATATGGGGATCAAAGAGGACTCCGGAGCCGTGAATCCCTGCGGGAGGAGGAGAGGTCGGCTCGGATTAAGACGTGCAGTAATTTGTGAAGGGTATGAACAGAAGAAACGAGCTATTAGGGGAAGGATTCGTGGCTGGCGGGATCAAAGAGCACCAGTAGGAAATGTTTAGAAGGCACTGGGAACAAAGGGAATTCAAACCCATATGAGTCCATTAATAGACACAGGAAATTTATTAACAGCGGCAACAAATCAAGTGTTCAATAACTTCCTAAATTCTACTTTTGCAGAGAAACCAGATCTCTTTTCATAAAGCTGATGAAGGACCTGCAAGACTGCTATTAGCCAAGAAATTTAAACAACATGCCTAAAAATAAACTGATATTTTACACCTACACCATGATAACCCAAACATAATCATCCTTAAAGTGTTGATGGAGTGTACAACAGGCTTTGAAAATACCAGACAACTGCCAAGTTAGGACTGAGCTATTGTGACAGCCTGAAATCAGATAATTATGGGTTGTATATTGACATTAAGTAATAATTAGATAATCATTTCATATTAGAATAACAGAAGGATTATAAATCTGTACACAAGCTTGGTGAGGTGCTTAGCAGCAAAGGTTGGGTGGGATCAAGAAAGCAGAAACTCTGCAAAGAAATTTAGGGTAAGCAAAGCAGACCTAAGGAGTGACTCTGTAACAGAGGGGTTTTAGCTTAAATTTGGGTTTATATACTGACAGGAGTGGGTACATTTAACCAGGATAGGAGGTGCAAGCCCTGGACATGGCACAGTGACACCCTGGCACTTTGAACCCAGGCTTGCCATCCACCTGGGATGTGGAAAAGATAGAAATAGTTGTGAAGAGCCGTGAGAAACAGGAGTAATAAATATGTGCTATGATGAGAAAATGTGGTTTTTTGCCTCACAAGGATATTGGGGGCTCACAGGGGTTTGCAGCAGGCAGCCTTTTTCAGAGGGTCACTGTGCAATTGGACAGGGAAAGGCAGAGCTGCCTGCACATTTCTGGGACAAGAGGCCAGGAGATTTCCCACTGCCAAGAGGGCACTCTGGTATTCACAAAAGTGATTTTCCAGGCCGTGAAGTCTTCAGAACAAAACTGGACTCTTTGGGGCAGACAGACCCTGGTAAATTCAACAGCTGGTCTCAATATGAGATTGCTTTGGGAAAGGAAACTTATGGCAGGCCCTGCAAAGTGATCTGCTGATTGTTGGGGCTTTAAACTCTGTAAATAAACTTTTCCTCTGCCTTTTTGAGGCATGAGGAGAAGATTCCCACCTCCCCTCTACAAGAAAGATGTCAGGTCAAAGAACATATCTATGAGAGAAGCAGGAATACTGGGTGCACATGTTCCTTTAATCTTCCTCCTCTACATCCATCTTTGTGCCCTCTTACTCAACTTTTTATGAAGTATCAGATTCAGGATAAAAGGTCATGGACCAGGGGACGTTAGGTTTTTTATTTCAAGCAGAACATGCTCTATATTTTCCTCCATGCCAGAATGAGGATCAATTTATGGCAGAAAACAAAATTCATTAATGGGAGCACTGCAAATAGTGGGAACCAGCCTAGGAGGGCATGTGATGCTGGATTGATGCAAGGCATTAATGAGGGAGGAAGGGAGAGGGGAGAAGGGAAGACAGCAGGAGGTTTTTTCCCCTGACACATTGCCTTATATTCCATTCCACCTTCTCCTCCTGCAGCTCCTGCTCCAGCATGTCCAGCACCTCGTGCATCAGGGCATCAGTGCCCCTTTGAGGGGTTCTCTCCCAGCCCTTCATCTCTGGGAGCTGGTCCAAACCAGGCTGCAAATGTGCCGAGCTTTTCTGGCAACACTTCAGAATAAAGGGCAAACCATTTCTGCAGCTCGTTTCCATTGTAGTATTAATCAAACTGAATGCCTGTGGTGCTCATATGGATGTCATATGGAAATCCCACTGCTCATTCCAAATTAAAGCCAATGGAGAAATTTCACTCCTGTCTCTATCTTGCAGCTCTGAGCTCTTGTGCATTTATTCCATTCATGAAATCCTGATTACTGTGGACATGAGGGAATACCAGAGTTGATGACACTCATGAGAAGTGTTGGTAATACTTGTCAATTTATAGAGAAAGTAGTCAGGAGCAAGGCTAAAACAAACATATTTCCATGTCCTACCTCAACCAAGTACTCCACATCTTAAAACAGAAGCCCTCACCAGCATTTCAAACTCTCCATCCCTTAATGTATTTCAGAACAAGAGCTTTTCCAGGCCAGTGCTGGCCCTCAGCAGTGGCCAGTGTCACAATTCAGAAGAAGACACGAGAAACATCCGAACAGCAGCTCTGGACAGTTTCAAAGAGTTTCCCCCCACACTATTAGAAATCCCACCCTGTTTGATGAAGTATATGTCTTTATTTAGAATATTTTTTTTTGTGGTGAGAGACAGGCAAATACAGGTTTATTTTGTTCTGAGAGTACTGATCCCTTTTTTCTCCCCTTTGAGAAGGGGGTCAAAGAGCTGTGGGCATATTGCTGGACCCCAGAAGTTAGCTGCTGATCAGGAAGAAGCTCCTTTGGCCTTAGGCAGGACTTTCAGCCTTGCTGAACCAGGTCCAGCATGTGAACTACGACAGCATGAGCACCTACAGGGTGTCCCTTGCCTTCAGTGCAGCATCAGCTCCGGTCCCTTGGGAACACTGCAGTTCCAGCCCATCAGTGATGCCATTCACTTCCCCAGAGGAAAAGGGAGGACCAGAGGAATAGGCTGAGGTGGTTCCAGCCCTTCCTGAAAGGGTTGGGAAGGTCCCACCCTGGAGCCTTTGCCCACCCTGTGCCTCCCTGGCACGCATCAGGTTTGGCAGTGGGCAGTGAGCAGATGAATCACGACTTGGTCTTCTCTCTGTCATAGATAACAAAGCCACTCACTGCAGGAAGCCACACATATTGCAGAGCTTTCCAGACTCCACCGACCCCTGTCCACACCAGGGGTGTTTCCTTCTCATCTTCTTTTGACCTAAACCTATCAAACCTCCCTGTAATCTCCCAGAACAAGAAATCATTCAGGGGGAGGCTCCTATATTAGCCGTGTCACTACAGGTATTTTGGAAATTGTTCAAGTGCTTTCTCCCTGAGAAGACTTGTCACACATGTCTGGGTCATTCCAAAGGTATGTAGGAAAACATATAGGAAAATATATTTAGGAAAAAATTCTTCTCTGTGAGGGTGGTGAGGCCCTGACACAGGCTGTCCAGAGAGGCACCACCATATCCCTGGAAGTGTCCAAGGCTAGGTTGGACAGAGCTTGGAGCAGCCTGGGACAGTGGAAGGTGTCCCTGCCAATGGCAGAGAGGTGGAATTGGATCATCTTTTCCTCTTTCACACGGAGTCCCCAAATACATCTGTACATCTGTGGTGTCTCTGGGTGGCCCTGCAGGGAAAGGTCCTGCCCAGGCTGATAGGAAAGGCAATATCCGGGAATTGCCAGTCCCCAGCATTTGGCTGTGCTGCATGGAGTCCACCCCAGCATTTGGCTGTCCCCAGTGGGGTGCCACACAAGGATGGGCATCACTCTGCAGTACCAGGGGGTCTCTGGTGAGAACAGAGGGTTCAGCAGGTCACAGAGGGGTTGTGCCCTGTGCCCAGGGGGTCCTGGCTGGGCACTGGCTCCAGTCCCTGGTGTGGAGATCATGGTAGAGATCTGCCCTGTGCCCGTGTGTCCTGGCTGGCATGGGAGGTCTATGCCAAGGCTGGGGCTCACGGGTGGAGCAAGGCTTGTGCCAAGGGTCCTGAGATGGCACAGCGGAGTCTGTCCCCAGGTCGGGGCTCACAGTGGGGGTCTGCCCCGTGCCCAAAGGGTCCTGAGATGGCATGGGGAGGGCTGTCCCCAGATCATGGATGGGGGTCTGTGCCTGAGGACACGGCGGGTCTGCCCCGTGCCCTGAGTGCGGGAGGGAACAGGGGCCTGTCCCTGCGTGGGGATGGTCCCGAGCGGGCACGGCCGGGGCGGCCCGCGGGACACAGCAACGGGGGGTGCTTGTGAGGGCGAGCCGAGCCGAGCCGAGCCG